AATTGATCTTACAATTTTGGATTTTTATTTGTGGGGAAGAATAAAAGACCTCGTATACCGCGAACGACCTACGACTTCAGAAGACATGAAGAACAGAATTCGAGAAGCCATTCAGTCTCTAGATCCTGTCGAAATTCGTCGGGTGACGGATGATTTTCAACGAAGAATAACAGCCTGCATACATGCACGTGGAGGACACTTCGAAAATCTAGACTGAACACATGCGTACGAACAAAGGTGACGGCAAGGGGAACCACTCCGACGAGGTGTAAGTCCGACCTTGTGACCTCCACGTGGTACATCTTGGGTAATGCTGACACAGGCGGCATCGACTGTTCAAGATCTTGACAATTAGGAATCTTTACAAATCGATGTACACGACTACAAATGAATCTAAAGGTAGAATTCAAATTCACCAGCAGATGGATGCATCATAGCTATGTAAATACCTAGTATTGTTTGAACTATTTTTTGTACAAACACATCCATATCTTTTAGAAGGTTGGTACGGGTGCTCTAAAAGTAACTTGACCTCCACATGACCTCTAAGGGTAATTTTGACCTAGGCTTGATAACGTATTCGGACGTAAAATTTTCCGCTATTTTCATTTGTGATGTCATGAATAAGGGTTTACATTTGTAAAACGGTACTTTGACCTTGAGTTATGCCCAAGGTCGACCTCAAGGTCAAATTCAAGGTCACCATCAGATAGATCTCCCGAAATCCTGCAAATTTTGTCTGAACCATTTTTTTGTACAAACACATCCCTACCTTTTAAAAGGGTGGTACGGGTGCTCTGAGACACCCGGTATGAACGTTATTGATCCTATCCCTAAAGAATGCCTCATTAGTAAACAAAATATTGCACAAAAATTGTAAATCTTAATTACATCGATGAAGAAACTATTGACAAAAAGTGATCCATTGTTGCAAATTAACTGGTAGAAGAGCCTGAACATGCTGGACATAATAGGGATGCAAAAGTTGATCATGCAAAATGTTCCACACAGTATGGCTTGATCTTTCTTGCAGGACGATTCTTCGATAAGATGTTCCAGGATTTTCTTCAATTGTGCGTAAAATATTTTTCTCGAATGCAGGACTTCTAACAAGTCGTAGTCTACCGCAATCAACTAAATTTGGTTTGAATTGTCCGGTCTCACGTAAGCGTTGATAAATTTTGCTAAACATTCTTTTTGGCTGTCGGATAAGCTGCATGATACAAGCGCGCTACTGTTAAAGCATTGCTCTTTGCTCTGCCATACATAAACTGAATCCGTTGTTCGAGATTAGCATCCGTAAAGCCGATTTTACGGAATTAGTGTATATGCGGCATATGGTTTGAAAACGTCTAGAAACGCTATATCATTTAAAATTGTTTTAGAAGCTTCTAAATGAACTTGACAATCACCTTTCTTGAAGTCAAGAGAATAATCAAAACCGCATGTTGTAAATACACAAAAACCAATTGTTAAAAAAACGACAATTACAATTCTAATCGATTATCGCACGCGCGCTCGCGTGACGCGAAACGCGTAATTCGCTAATCCCAATCATAATCGCTGATTTTGCGCGCATGGCAATAACATGCCGCATCGTCATTAAAAATTGCCAATTGTTGCCCGAATCATGAGGTCAACCTCAAAATTCATAATTTTCATAGTGACAAAAGGAACCTTTGTTCGATTAAATCGATAAAAGGTCGAGCAGTGATCACTCCTTTTTTCTTTTTTAGTCGCAGTTAACGTTCCGCAATTTAGATCAATCGCTTCTGAGACGCTCCGCCGAAAGAAAACCGCCGCGTTCGATTCATTATAGAAATCCGAAAGAGT